ATTCCACTTTTGTCTCCTTTTAATTCCACTTTTGTCTCCTTTTAATTCCACTTTTGTCTCCTTTTAATTCTCTCTTTACCTCTTTTTAGCTCTCCTTTTAACTCTCCTTTTAACTCTCCTTTTAACTCTCTTTTAGGTCCTTTTACTTCTCTTTTTGTCTCCTTTTACTTCTCTTTTTGTCTCCTTTTACTTCTCTTTTTGTCTCCTTTTACTTCTCTTTTTGTCTCCTTTTACTTCTCTTTTTACCTCCTTTTAACTCTCCTTTTAACTCTCTTTTAAACTCTCCCTTCAACTCTCCTTTTAGATCCTTTCCCTTCTTTTCTCTCCCACTCCCACCCCACAAGAGACCACTGGTCCCCCAACAGACCACTGGTCACCCCTAACAGACCACTGGTCCACTCCCCCCCTAACAGCCCCCCACTGCCCTCTAACCCCCACTGGCCGCCCAAGTGGCCCACTGGTCCCCTCCGAGTGGACCACTGGTCCCCTCCACTGGTCCACTGGCCCCCAAAATAGCCCACAATCCCTCCAATGGTCCACTAGCCTTCCAAAACAGCCCACAGTCCCTCCAAACAGCCCACAGTCCCTCCAAACAGCCCACAGTCCCTCAGTGGTCCACTGGTCACCTCCCAGTGGTCCACTGGTCACCGAGTGGTCCACTGGTCTGCAGGGAAAGGCACAGTGGTCACTGGGCGCGTGGAGCAGGGCACTCTGAAGGCGGGCGCGGCTGTGGAGCTCGTCGGGCTGGGGGCCCCCCAGGGCCAAAAGCTCCTCGTGGGGGCCCTCGAGATGTTCCACAAGACCCTCCCGGAGGCCATTGCCGGCGACCAGGCCAGTCCTAGCAGCTAGCTAGCTAGCTAGCCAGCTAGCTAGCCAGCTAGCCAGCTAGCTAGCCAGCTAGCTGGCTGGTTACTGTCCCTTTTGGTGCCCCTGAATGCCTTTGAGCTCCCCTAAACAGAAAAAAGTCCCCAAAGTCTCCAAAAGTCCCAAAAGTGTCCAAAAAAGTCCCAAAAGTCTCCAAAAAAGTCCCAAAAGTCTCCAAAAGAGTCCCAAAAGTGTCCAAAAGAGCCTCAAAAGTGTTTAAAAGAGTCCAAAAGTGTTTAAAAGAGTCCAAAAGTGTTAAAAACTTCTTAAAAGTGTTAAAAACTCTCCAAAAGTCCCCGAAGTCTGCTCTCTTTTGCGCGCAGGTGGGAGTGTTGCTGAAGGGCGCGCGGCGGGAAGAACTGCGCCGCGGAATGGTCTTGACAGTCCCTGGAAGTCTTCGGGGCTGCATGCGTTTTAAAAGCGACATTTACGTTTTAAGTTCCGAAGAAGGAGGCCGCAAAAAGCCCTTCTTCTCCCACTACAGGCCCCAACTCTTCCTCCGCACTGCGGATGTGGCGGCTACTGTTGTGCTTCCTGAGGGCACTGAAATGGTCAGCTAGCTAGCTAGCTAGCTAGCTAGCTGGACAAGTGGCTGGCTAGCTGGCTAAGTGGCTGGCTAGCTAGCTAGCTAGCTAGGTGGCTGGCTAGCTAGCTAGCTAGCTAGCTCGATAAGTGGCTAGCTAGCTAGCTAGCTAGCTAGTTAGCTAGTTAACTAGCTAGCTAGCTAGCTAGCTAGCTAGCTGGGTAGTTGGGTAGTTGAGTAGTTGGGCTGTGTCTTCGCTCTTAGAGCTTCTCTGCTTCTCCGGTTTGCTGGCTTCCAGCCGCCTAGCCACCTCGCTAGCTAGCCAGCCAGCCATCCAGCCAGCTAGCCAGCCAGCTAGCCAGCCAGCTAGCCAGCTAGCTAGCCAGCTAGCTAGCTAGCTAGCTAGCTGTTTTGCTTGCGACTCAGGCAATGCCCGGGGACCGCCTGAGCGTGGAGATGCGGCTGGAGCAGCCGCTGGCTTTGCAGCCGCAGCTGCGCTTTGCGCTGCGGGAGGGCGGAAAGACTGTGGCGGCGGGAGTGGTCACTGAAGTCCTCGATTGAGGCCTTTTCCGGGGGGTTTTAAGAGGGTTTTGAGAGGGTTTTGAGAGGGTTTTGAGAGGGTTTTAAGAGGGTTTTAAGAGGGTTTTGAGGGGGTTTTGAAGAGGGTTTTGGAGGGGGTTTTGGAGAGGGTTTAAAAGGGGATAAAAGCGGAAAAAATGGACTCAAGGGGGCCCACAGAGGGCCCCAAAGGCGCCCACAGAGGGGCCCCTTTGGGGGCCCTCGAAGGTGCCTTTGGGGCCCCTCTGTTGAAGAAAGAAAACAAAATAAAAACAAAAAGAATTAAAAGTAATTAAAAGTGAAAGAAAACAAAATAAAAACAAAAAGAATTAAAAGTAATTAAAAGTGCTTCAGGAAGCAAAGCAGAGACAAGAAAGAACGAGAAGACGCAAGGACGAGGCGGGCGTGGGGTGTATAGACAGCTCACTAACTGGCCCCAGGTGTATAGGCAGCTGTCTTGAGGTGTATAGGCAGCTGTCTTGGGGTGTATATGCAGCTTCTTGAGGTGTATATGCAGCTTTTGAGGTGTATATGCAGCTTCTTGAGGTGTATATGCAGCTTCTTGAGGTGTATATGCAGCTTCTTGAGGTGTATAGGCAGCTTTTGGGGGGTTTGGAGAGTGGTGTTGGGGTGTATAGACAGCTCGCAGTGCCTAGGGCGTCAGTGATTTGTCGGAGATTTAAAAGCATTTATTTTAAAAGTATTTCCAAAAGAAATAAATTAAAACCTTTGAAGACAAACTCGAGCAACAAACGGCCCGACCCGCTGCTGCTGAGGTGTCTAGGCACCTCGGGGTGTATAGGCACCTCGGGGTGTATGGCCACCTTGAGGTGTACAGACACTTTGGTTGTTTTGGCTTTTCTGTTTCTTTCTTTGTCTCACTTTTCGTTTGAAGACTTATTTGGTTTAAAGGAAAAGAAACAAATGGCAATTTATTTCTTTGCTTCTTTTTGCCTTTTCTTTTTCTTTTTTCTTCTTTCTTTTGTTCTGCTGCCTTGCTAGCTGCTGCTGTGTTGCTGCTGCTCTTCTGCTGCTGCTGTTGCCCTCCTGCTGCTGCTGCTCTCCTCTGCTGCTGCTGCTCTCCTCTGCTGCTGCTGCTCTGCTGCTGCTGCTGCTGCGAACTCTGTTTCTTTTTCACTTCTGCTTACACCTAAGTTGAGTCTGGAGTAGCCTCCGAAAAGACAAAAAGATGACAAAAAAGAAACAAAAAGACAAAAAAGACAAAAAGAATTCAAAAAGAGTTCAAAAGGAGTTCAAAAAGAGTTCAAAAGAAAACAAAAAGAGACAAAAGAGGCTCGCCAGCAGCATTTGCTGCAGCAGCAGAAAGGGACACGAAAGGAGACAGCAGCAGCTGCGTCAGCAAAATGCTCTTTTTGAATTTCTTTTAAATGCAAATGCTGCATTTATTTTTGGAAATATGAATGTTTATTTTATTCTGCATGCATGCAAAATAAAAGAGAAGTTCTTTTGTTGAGAGGAGATGTTTGCAGCTTTTAAATGTTTTATTTTGTTGGCATTTGTCGGCACTTTTGCATTTATTTCGCAAATTTCTTTTGGAGAAAACTTTAAAGAAAAAACAAAAAATGAAAAGGCGAATTCGCGTTCGGGTGTATCTCCAGAGTGCTGGCTCTGAGGAGTGTATGTACAGCTCACAATGCAGGATCTGTAAAATATATTTTTATTTATTTTTATTTTTTATTACATTTATGTTCATATTTGCAGTTTTAATTGTTTATATATGGAAATGCCCCGAGCCGTATTTATGAACTTCTGCTGAACAGAACTGCAGCAGCAGCAGCAGCAGCAGCAGCAGCAGCAGCAGCAGCAGCAGCAGCAGCAGCAGCAACGAAAATGGGACAGCAGCGCAGCAAACAAGGATGAAAAAGAAAGAATGAATTGGAAAGATTCGTAAAAATATATTAATGAACAAAATAAAGAAATGAAGTAATGAAGAAGCGAAAGCGGCTCTGAAGAAGAACAGCAGAAAAGGAGCAGTTGGAGAGTCCGCGGCGACCGGCAGCAGAACACAATTTTAAGAGCAAATAACTGAACAAAGGATGAACAAATGTGCAAAATAAAGATAAAATTAAATAAAAAATAAATAAAAATGAAATGAAGAAGGAAAATAACGAGGAACTGAAGGAAGTGAAACAACAAAACTTTGAAGACTGATGAGGTGTATGTACACCGCGGCGTTTCCGTCCGTGCTGTCAAGGCTGTTTGGCGGCTTTTTACGGAGGAAAAAGCTGGAAAGTTTGAAAAGTGGGATTTAATTAAATTTAAAATGCATTTAAAGACCATTTGCGTTAAATTAAAGCTTCGGGACGGCACACCTGCTGCTGCTGCCGAGCCGGAGCAGCAGCAGCAGCAGCAGCACCGGCAGCCCCCGTTTGTCCGCTGCATGCAGCAAATATTAAGAAAAGACCCTTAATAATTGACTAGTTTTGTTTCTTTTGTTTTATTTAAAGTTTTGTTTGGAGTTGTGTGCTTGCTGCCGCGGTTATTTCAGGTGTACGTACACCTGAGCTGCTGACGCAGCAGCTGGGGCCCCTCTTCTTCTGCACTTCTTTTCCACTCTTCTTCTTTCAAAAGATGCCGCTGCTGTTTTCTAGAGCTGCTGCTGCAGCAGCGTCGGCAGCAGCAGCAACAACGGCAGCAGCAGCAGCAGCAGCAGCGCAGCGCTGCCTCAGGGCAAACGGTGCTGCTGCTGCTGCTGCTGCTGCTGCTGCTCTTTCCCATTTTTCAAGTGTTTCTGCGGCGCAGGGGGCCCCCGCCAAACCCTCGCCAGCCGCTGGCTCCCAAACCCTAAACCCTAAACCCTCGACTGAAAACCCTAAACCCCAAACCCTAAACCTCACCATAAACACTCAAGGAGACCCTTATGATGTTTTCATTATTGGCGGAGGAGTTGCTGGAACGGCGCTGCTGTACGAGCTAGCTGCCTTCACAAGTCAGCAAACCCCAAACCCTAAACCCTAAACCCTAAACCCTAAACCCTAAACCCTAAACCCTAACCCCTGATCGGCGAAAGCTACTCGGCGCCGCCGACTTCTTTCTCCGCCGCTTCTTGGCGGCAGCTAGCAGGGCTGTCCTTGCAGGAACCTTGGGGTTCAGGGTTTAGGGTTTAGGGTTTAGGGTTTAGGGTTTAGGGTTTGTGGTTTAGATATTAAGAAGATCGGCCTGGTGGAAAGGAGACAAGGGTTTGGACTCGTGCAGTCCCACCCCAGAAACAATTCGCAAACCATTCACTGCGGGGACATCGAGACGAACTATACGCTTCGTAAACCCTAAACCCTAAACCCTAAACCCTAACTAAACCCTAAACCCTAAACCCTTGGCCCTGATGCAGAGGGCTACCCGCAGCTGCAACTCGGGCCTGTTGCAAACCCTGCACTCCATGGGACAGGGCGTTTTAGATGGGGGGCAGCCGAGGGTTTAGGGTTTAGGGTTTAGGATTCAGGGTTTAGGGTTTAGGGTTTAGGGTTTAGGGTTTAGGGTTTAGGGTTTGTGGGGATGCAGAGAAGGCCAAGGTGGTGAAGAGACAGGCGGATATGCTGCGCAACTTCGCCACCAAATTGCCCCCCGAAACAAGAGACAAGTGAGGGCTAGGGTTTAGGGTTTAGGGTTTAGGGTTTAGGGTTTAGGGTTTAGGGTTTAGGGTTTAGGGTGGTTTTTAAAGGATTTCTTCTTCTGCTGCGAATTGCCGCTGGTCCTTTTACTAATCATTATTTGAATTTTGAAATTACCAGTTTAGTTATGCCATTCCTAATAAATAAATAAACAAATTAAATAATTAATTAATTAATTAATTAATTAATTAATTAATTTAAAAATAAATAATTAATAAAAATCCAGACAAATAAATAAATAATAAACTTAAAATTACCCCGCCGTCTGTCAGCAGCAAAAAGAAACCCTTTGCTGCCAACCAGAGCTGCTGCTGCTGCTGCTGCTGCTGCCGCTGCTGCTGCTGCTGCCGCTGCTGCTGCTGCTGCTGCTGCTGCTGCTGCTGCTGCTTTTGCGTGAAGAGTTATTTTTCGTTTTCCGAAAATGGCGCTGGCGGTTGGAGAGGAAGAATGCGACTTCATGAAAAAAAGATTTCAAACTTTCAAACCTCTTTTTTCTTCTTTGCAACTCGTCGGCAAGACAGAGGTACTGCAGCAGCAGCAGCAGCAGCAGCAGAGCTGCAGCAGCAGCAGCAGCAAGAGAAGCAGCAGCAGCAGAGCTGCAGCAGCAGCAGCAGCACGAGAAACAGCCGCAGTGCAGCAGCAACAGAAGCAGCGCCAGCAGCTGCAGCAGAGCAGCAGCAGCAGCAGCAGCAGCAGCAGATAAGCGCATTTGAATATTTCAATAAAATGAGCAGCAGCAAGACACAGCAGCAGCAAAAAGGCGAAACGTCGATTTTTTCCCTGCTGCTGCTGCTGCTGCCCTGCTGCTGCTGCTGCTGCTGCTGCTCTGCTGCCACTGTTCCTGCTGCTCTCCCCTTCGCTCCTTTTCCTCCGCCGCTCTCGCTGCTGCTGCTGCCGCTGCTGCTGCTGCTGCTGTTGCTGCTGCTGCTGCTGCTGCTGCTGCTGCAGATATGCGAGCTGGAGCCGCGCGTGGGGCTGAAGAGCAGCAGCAGCCCGCGAGAAGACGAAGTCTGCGGCCTTTTTGTTGCCAATGAACACACTGCTGTTAATTACATTTCCTTGGCAGAAGCTTTCGTCAGCGCAGCAAAAGAAGCAGCAGCAGGAAAGGTCAGCAGCAGCAGCAGCAGCAGCAGCAGCAGCAGCAGCAGCAGCAGCAGCAGCAGCAGCAGCAGCAGCAGGTCGTACATGAGTTTGGGGCGGAATTCTGAGCTAATTGTTCAGAACTCTTGTGAATTGAATTAAATTAGAATGCAAAATAAAAATAAAATAAAATAAAATAAAATAAAATAAAATAAAATAAAATAAATAAAATAAAATAAAAGATTAAAATGAATTAAATTGTTTTGGACTTTGCAGCAACTGGACTTCTCCTTGGGAACTGAAGTGCTGGAGATAAAAAGAGAAGACAAAAATTTGTTTTCTTTAATTACTGACAAGGGCATTAAAAAGGTATTTAATTCATTTAATTCATTTAATTTAATTAATTTAATTTAATTAATTCATGTAATTTAATTTAATTCATTTAATTTAATTAATTTAATTTAATTTAATTTAATTTAATTAATTTAATTTAATTTAATTTAATTTAATTTAATTATTTTGCATTTCACTTGTAAAAGGCGAAATTCGCTTTCTTTGATTTCCGTTTTCTTTTTGCAACAAACTGACCTCTGCGGCTTTTCTTCTTTTTTCTTTTTTTCTTTTTTTTCTTTTTTCTTTTTTTTCTTTTTTTTCTTTTTTTTCTTTTTTTTGTTTCTTTTTTTCCTTTTTCTTTTTTGTTTCTTTTGTTTCTTTTGTTCCTTTTGTTTCTTTTTTGTTTCTTTATTTCTTTTGTTTCTTTTTGTTCCTTTTATTTCTTTTTGTTCCTTTTTGTTCGTTTTATATCTTTTTGTTCCCTTTTTATTCTCCTTTATTCTTTTTTATTCCTTTTTATTCCTTGTTATTCTTTTTATTCCTTTTAATTCCTTTTTATTCTTTTTAATTCCTTTTTATTCTTTTATTCTTTTTAATTCCTTTTAATTCTTTAATTCTTTTAATTCTTTTATTTCTTTTTTATTTTATTTCTTTTTTCTTCAGGCCCGTTTTGTGGTGGTGAGTGCCTGCGGGCACTCTTTGCTCTTTGCGCAGCGCCTCGGCTACGGCCGCGAGTTTTCCTGCCTCCCAGTCGCTGGCTCTTTCTACTTCGCTGACACTATGTCCGCTGCTGCTGCTGCTGCTGCACTGCTGCTGCTGCAGTGCTGCTGCAGTGCTGCTGCTGCTGCAGTGCTGCTGCAGTGCTGCTGTTGCAGTGCTGCTGCTGCTGCTGCAGTGCTGCTGCTGCTGCTGCAGTGCTGCTGCTGCTGCAATGCTGCTGCTGCTGCTGCAGTGCTGCTGCTGCTGCTGCTGTGCTGCTGCTGGAGTGCTGCTGCTGCTGCAATGCTGCTGCTGCTGCAATGCGCTGGTGATGCTGCTGCTGCAATGCTGCAGCTGCTGCTGCGGAGGGTGATGGTGTGCTGCTGCTGCTGATGATGGTGATGATGATTGTGATGCTGCTTAAGTTGCTGCTGCTGCTGCTGCTGCTGCGGAGTACGATGATGCTGCTGCTCTGGCGATGACGGCGATGCTGCTGCTGCTGCTGTCGCCGCTGCTGCTGCCGCTGCTAATCACGATGCTGCTGCCGCTGCTGCTGCTGCTGCTGCTGCTGCTGCTGCTGCAGGCTGAACGGGAAAGTGTACACAGTGCAGGACCCGCGGCTGCCGTTTGCTGCAGTGCACGGCGACCCGGACATTTTGCTGCAGGGGAAGACGCGGTTCGGCCCCACAGCTTTGCCGCTGCCGCTTTTGGAAAGAAATAATTTAAAAACATTTTTTGATTTTGCAAAGTGCGTGAAGCCCGACTGGCGGCTCGCTCAGGTGTACGTACAGCTCCTCAACACCGCCTACATGCGCGCCTACGTCTTCAAGAACTTCCTCTTCGAAGTCCCCAAACTCAACCTCCACCTCTTCGCCAACGTAAACCCTAAACCCTAAACCCTAAACCCTAAACCCTAAACCGTAAGCCCTAGCCCGAGGCCTTCAGTTTCATGCCCCACACTCACCTCCGCCTCTTCGCCAACGTAAACCCTAAACCCTAAACCCTAAACCCTAGCGCCAGGCCTTCAGTTTCATGCCTCACTCTCACCTCCACCTCTTCGCCAACGTAAACCCTAAACCCTAAACCCTAAACCCTAGCGCGAGGCCTTCAGTTTCGTGCCCCACACTCACCTCCGCCTCTTCGCCAACGTAAACCCTAAACCCTAAACCCTAGCGCGAGGCCTTCAGTTTCATGCCCACTCTCACCTCCACCTCTTCGCCAACGTAAACCCTAAACCCTAAACCCTAAACTGTAGTATACTGAACTCTAAACCATAAACTGCTAAACCCAAGAGCTCCCGAGCTCAGCAGTCTGCCCCTAATGGCAATCCTAAACCCTAAACCCTAAACCCTAAACCCTAAACCCTAAACCCTAAGGTCTCTGCCAGAGGCCTAATGCTGCTAGCTGCTGCTGCGGTGTTCTGCTGCTGCTGCATTAGAGCTTTCTGAATTAGAGCAGCAGCAAGCAGAAAACGCACAATAAACAGTAAAGGGTGGAGACAGCGGAACTGAGGGTTTAGGGTTTAGGGTTTAGGGTTTAGGGTTTAGGGTTTAGCGGAAAGAGCAAAAGGGCTGGAAAAAGCTAAAAAGACGCCTTCTTTGCGGAGACAAAGACCAAATGGATTATTTTCTTTTTGGATTTATTTAAATGCATTAAATCAATTAATAATTGTCAAATGAGTTTGGAGTTTTTGTTTTTTCGAAGGACTTGAGAAAAATAATTCCTTCAATCCAAGTTGAAGACTTAACTTACGCAAAAGGCTTTGGGGGCATTCGCCCGCAGCTGATAAACAAAGTGGAGAAGAAACTGCTGCTGGGCGAAGGCAAAATTGTGACAGGTAATTAAAAATAAAATAAATAAATAAATAAATTAATTAATTAATTAATTAATTTATTTATTAATTAATTAATTAATTAAAATAAATAATAAATAATGAATTGTTTATTAATTGCAAATTAATGGCGCTTTTTGCTTTTTCCACAACTGCTGTTTTAGTGTCGGCAGGTTGGGCTGCTCCTGCGGCAGAGGCCAGGGCAATAAAATAATAAATAAATAAATAAATAAATAAATAAATAAATAAATAAATTAAATAAATAAATAAATAAATAAATAAAATAAAGTAAATAATAATAAATAATAAATAAAAAGAGGTAAAATTGCAAGTGAATGAACAAATCATTTGAATTGCGGGCACTGCACTGCAATCCCGTGAGAGACCTCTGACTTTTTGCTGCTGCTGCTGCTGCTGCTGCTGCTGTTGCTGCTGCTGCTGCTGCTGTTGCTGCTGCTGCTGCTGCTGCTGCTGCGCGAAGGAGAAAACATAATTTTCAACATTACGCCTTCGCCGGGGGGCACGACTTGCCTGGGCACTGCGGAGACGGACATGCGGGAAATAGCGCGGGAGCTGCAGGCGAGGATTGACGAGGAGAAGTTCAAAAAGATTCTTTTGCAAGGAGAGTATCCCGTTGGCAATTAGCGGAATGTTGGGGACTTTGGAGGACTTTAAAAGGAAAAAAGGGAAAAAAAACGAAAAAAAAGAACCAAAAACGAAAGAAATCCGAAAAATCCGCAAAAAACCAACACTCCACCAGGTGTACAGACACCCCAAACTGCGGCCGCAGCTCGCAAGCTAACGCAAGTTCAGGTGTACAGACACCTCAACTGCATGCATGCATGCATGCATGCATTTGCGCGGCGGTGCACGCACTTTCGGGTGTACAGACACCCCGCCTGCATGCATGCGTGCATGCATGCACGCATTTTGCGGTGTACAGACACCTCGGTTGCATGCATGCGTGCTTGCATGCATGCGTTTCGGGTGTACGGACACCTCAGATGATGCATGTCGACGCGTGCATGCATGCACTTCCAGGTGTACAGACACCTCAGATACGTGCGCGCATGCATGCAGACGTGGGTCTTGAGGTGTACGTACACTGCAAGTGCGGCTGCGCTTTGCGAGGGCCCTTTAGGCGGTGCATGCAGCGGCGGCAGCCAGAAGAAGAAACAAACAAACTGACTAATGCATTTATAGCATTAAACACATTTAATTCACAAAATGTTGATTACTTTTGACATTTGCGTGCACATAAAGCTGGCTTTGTGCTGCTGCTGCTGCAGTGCTGCTGTTTTATGAATTTCAAAGAGGTGCCTGTACACCCCAACGCCTCAGGTGTATAGACAGACACCTGGACTCCTTTAAATGCATTTAACTTCTCCATTTCCCATTTCTAATCAAAAGTTTTTCTTCGGCAGCTGGAGAGCGCAGAGGCGCTGCATGCAACTTGAGTTTCAGGTGCATGCAAGTTCAGTTTCAGGTGTATGCGCACCTTTCAAAACGAGCATCAGCAGCAGCTCTTGAAATGCATCTTTTTTGCATTAATTTAGCATTATTTGGATTTATTTAGGAAATCCGGACAATTCCGCATTATTTAATTCAATTTAAATGT